CCCCAAAACCCCAAAACCCCAAAACCCCAAAACCCCAAAACCCCTTTCATCTAAAATGCTGTTGATGTTCTCAATAATAGTTCAAACCCTTATGTATAGCTTCAAAATGGCATAAACATGGCTATGCTCAGAAAAACACTTAAAGTATAGATTAAAGAGAATTAGGGCTTAATTCAGTTCCTTTTAGGGGTCTATCCGGTCAGTCTTTGCCTTCAGCTTAGACACACTCTGAATGTTCTGAGTGAAAGTCTCGCCTTGTCTTGGGCCAAGCTTATTCTTATTGGAGGGAAGGAAGATTTTAGAGGTAGGTACAAGCTTACTGTTACTATGAGCAGTATTAGGATGGATCTGCTTAGGAACAGTTGGCTTTGCTTGTTGTGGTGCCTCAGTTTCATTCTTGACTTCTTTGAAATCGCTACTAATCGAAGCTTGCCTTCCTTTCTCAGATTTCACTTCCTCAGATTTCACTTCCTCGGATTTTACTTCCTCTGATTTTCCTTCCTCAGGAATTCTTTCGATATTAGAATTGGAAGTTCCGAACCTCTGATCTCCTGCTCCAAAGTAAGGATTACTCAGATTAGAAACAACCCGCTCATGTTGCTTGGGAGAAGTTGATCTAGATCCATCAAAATTAAAATTTGAAGAATTTTCTGACAAGAATAGAGAAGAGTTGACTTCTATCAGCTCTTCATTGGCTTCAATAGGCTGCCAGATTTTACCATTAAAATCTGGGTATTGAGAATAGTCCTGAGACAAGTTTCCTTGCTTAAGCTTTCCTGAGAAGATAGGGAAGCTACTATTCTCGTATCCAATATCAGACCCAGTATTGTTCCTACAATGACTTATGTTCAACTGTGGTGGGTTCACCTGGGTCCCATACAGACTAGTAGCTTGAGGAACGTAGATGCTATCGTTCCCATTTAGATTATATTTGTCTGCAGACTGAAATGAGGAGGAGGACTCATCCCTTCTCAACTCATTATGCTGCTGAAAACTTGGAAAAACAGGGTAGTAGTTTTTGGGTGTCATAGAGTAGCTGTTGTTACATTTACGATTATACATGTCATAGTCCCTACTCCCATGCACCATTCTCTGAGGAATACTCATGTCAGAAGACTGTCTTCCATAATGTGAGTACCCTGGAAATTGGTTAGGCATGGGATGAAAATCTTCTGAATGAGACAACCCTTTATGGTAAGCTTTAGGGTTGATCAAAATTGCATAAGGATGATTATTACTTTTGTTATCGATCCGAATCTGATCTCCCATTGATAATATTAAGTCCTTTAACTTTGCAAACCCTAATTCAGGGAGAGAATAATTAAATGGAAGCCTCTTCTTTATGAAAGCAGGGAGCTGGGCTAACGAAACTCCTTCAGGGTTAGCAATTAAAATACTAATCAAGACTTTCTTGATTCATTCTAGTTTGTGATTGATCTCTAATTTCTTTTGGTTTATTTCTTCTTGACTATTAAACATATTTGGGATATCTGAGCTAAATGGCTCACTCCAGACTAGTAAAGTTTTCTGATATTTAATGACATCATCATTTATAGCTTTCTGAACCATCTGAGATAGCTTTCCTAAAGAGCACTGGCTCAGCTCAGAAGGGCCACAGGTCTTTGCAAACTGAGCTCAGCCATATCTGCCTCCAGGAATTGCTTTATTTTTCCTCATTTAGGCTACTAATTTGGCCAGAGATTTTTGAATTTGTGGCCTCGGTAGAGTTCCTGTGCTTCTTTGGTTTTGAGACCTTAGTGTCATGGTCAACTCCTTCGTTCTTAATAATACTGTCATATTTCTCCCAGAAGGTTTTAAGATCATTGCTAAAATATTCTTTCAAGAAAGTGATAAAGGTATTATAAACTTCCTCTTCAATGGTATCGTTAGGGCTCTGGTCATATCCAACCCAGGTATCCCCTGCTGGGTAAATTATGTAAGAAGACTGCTGGCAGCCAGAGACATTGCTATCTGTTGTGCTAAAGTCCTCTTCAAGTTCGAATAAAATGTCCTCCTTTGTACCATCAAAGAACTGATAGTATAATTTCTTTCCGTTCTTAGTATGGATAAATTTCTTTGAGTAATGGGATCTCCTCTCAGAACCTCCAATTTTTATCCTCTGTTTGTTTCTTGATGCCTTGTTCTCTTCAGGTGCACTTGAGAGCAAGCCTGAGTCATTTTCCAAAGCTGGGAACTCATCTTCGTTATGTTCAGAGTCTTCTTTCTGACAAGAGTCATCTCCATTCTTCGAGTTTGAATTACTCACCTGTGTTTTTGTAATTGCGTCAGGCTGAAATTTTAGCAAAATGCTACTCATAACATGATCCCAAAGCCAAGTTGTAACCTTATAGCAGAAAGCCTCCTTAATTCTACTCTGAATTGCTTTTTCATTAGGAGTCATTTCATCTCTCTTTAGACTCCTGAGACACCAGAGGATACATTCATGAGAGATGATGTCAAGGTTTAGGCTATGAAAAACTTGCTTCTTAGTGCTGAACTGGCGGTAAGTTGTATGAATTATTCCATAATCCTCACAAGCTTTGATAATCTGAGAGTTATTGCCAAGATGGGCTAGTAGTTCCTTATTTTCTATCATCAAAATGCCTTCTTCTGCTAAAGCTCTGAGGATTTTCTGAACATCGAGTATTTTATTTTCAATTTTACTAGGAAGCTTCCTGTCTACCTTAACGTAAGGCTGATAGTAAGGGATCTTCACCTGCTTATTCTTGACTGAATACAAACTTGCATCGATATTTCCATTATGAAAAGTTATAGTATTTGTGTTGAAGAGAGAGTAGTAGCTCTGTCCTCATGATGTGAAGGATTTATTTGGATTTGAATAGCTGTCACTCTTATTTCGAGTTCCTCTTTCACATCTTGCCTTTGGGTCTAATTCATCTCGGGAATTTACACTTCTGGATGATTTTAAGGCAAGAGGCTGGGACAAATAGCTCCTCTTATCAATCGGGAGGAAGGAATTAGCAGTACCTACTGAGAGACCTCCAGAACTCTTAGTTGATAAAGCTTGAGGTAAAGAGGTATTAGTATATCCATGAGAGTAATTCGTATCGACTTTGTACTTTTCTGCACTCATATCGAGTCAGTTGAATTCTCCTTCATGATCACTCAGCACATTAATTTGATCGTCCATTATACTATTCAGAGATTGTTGGATTAACGAAGGAACTCAATCCTCATATTCATCGTCATTCCGGTCCATGAAGGAGAGGGGCTCAAGTTTATTTTTAGGAATCCTATTGTGTTTCTTCCTTGCACCTTTATTATGAATTTTATTTATCACAATCTTGGCATAGGAATTGCTCGCATTCCTTGCAACTCATTTGAGAGAGTTTTTCTTCTCACTCCTCTCATACATAAATACGCTCATGGTTTTCTCTTAAATAGCTTGTGCTTAAGTTTGAGCTATCCTTCTCAGCCTCAGTTAGAGGATGATGAACTTCCTGGTCACATCTTTGGCAAAGGTATTGGGGAGGATCTCACATTTCACATCTGAGGAAGCCAGATGCCTGACCTCATTTGTTTCATTCCATTTTTGGGAAAATTTAATTAAAGATTATTGATTTCAGCTTATTTAAAAAGGATTGGGGTTTTGGGGTTTTGGGGTTTTGGGGTTTTGGGGTTTTGGGGTTTTGGGG